GGGCCCGGCCCCATCTCTGCCCCTCACTTGTGGGGCCCGGCCCCATCCCTGCCCCTCACTTGTGGGGCCCGGCCCCATCCCTGCCCCTCACCGTCCGCGCCTCCGCCGCCCCCGGGCCCTGCGCCTGCCTCTGCTGCTGCCTGCGGGCAATGGGAGCAGGATGGGACCCATTGGAGCCCCCCATGTGGGACCCCCCCCCCCAGGCAGGGCCAGGATGGAACAGCCCAAACCTGCCCCATCCACCCCATTGCAGGGTCCTTGTGGGGCAGAGCTGCTGTGGGTCCAGCCCCACTGATCCCAGCGCTATGGGGCAGCCCCATTGATCCCAGCTCTATGGGGCAGCCGCATTCCTCCCAGCGCTATGGGGCATCCCTATTGATTCCAGCTCTATGGGGCAGCCCCACTGATCCCAGCGCTATGGGGCAGCCCTACTGATCCCAGCGCTATGGGGCAGCCCCATTGATCCCAGCGCTATGGGGCAGCCACATTCCTCCCAGCGCTATGGGGCATCCCTATTGATTCCAGCTCTATGGGGCAGCCCCATTGATCCCAGCACTATGGGGCATCCCTATTGATTCCAGCTCTATGGGGCATCTGCATTGATCCCAGCGCTATGGGGCAGCCCCATTGATCCCAGCACTAAGGGGCAGCCCCATTGATCCCAGCACTATGGGGCATCTGCATTGATCCCAGCGCTAGGGGGCACCCGCATTCTTCCCAGCTCTATGGGGCATCCCCATTGAACCCAGCCCTATAGGGCAGCCCCACTGATCCCAGCGCTATGGGGCAGCCCCATGGACTCACCAGGCCTCTTCCAGCTCTGCCACCTCCTCCAGCTCCTTCAGGCGCTGATGCAGGAGCTGGGGGGAAGGAAGGGGCTGAGCCCCCCAGGTTCTGCCCCCCAACCCTCCCCCCCCTGCCCCATGGGCCCCACAGAACCTCATTGTCCCGCTGGTCCTCCTGTAGCCAGGTCCTCATGAAGGCCAAATGCTGCTCCTCCTGCAGAGCCAAGGCAGCGCCGTGGGGCTGGGCTATGGGGCTGAGCCATGGGGCTGGGCTATGGGGCACGGGGGGCGAGGTGTGTGTGATATGGATACTCCATGTCTTGCATCCTCCATCCTATGGGGCTGGGCTATGGGGCTGAGCCATGGGGCTGGGCTATGGGGCACGGGGGGGGGGTGTGTGTGTGATGGATACTCCATGTCTTGCATCCTCCATCCTATGGGGCTGGGCTATGGGGCACGGGGGGGTGTGTGTGTGATGGATACTCCATGTCTTGCATCCTCCATCCTATGGGGCTGGGCTATGGGGCACGGGGTGGGGGGGGTAATGGATACTCCATGTCTTGCATCCTCCATCCTATGGGGCTGGGCTATGGGGCACGGGGGGGTGTGTGTGTGATGGATACTCCATGTCTTGCATCCTCCATCCTATGGGGCTGGGCTATGGGGCTGAGCCATGGGGCTGGGCTATGGGGCACGGGGGGGGGGTGTGTGTGATGGATACTCCATGTCTTGCATCCTCCATCCTATGGGGCTGGGCTATGGGGCGCAGGGGGGTGATGGATGCTCCTTGTCCTTGTGCACGCAGGCATAGGGGGCTCTGCCCCATAGATCCCTTCCCATAGGGAGGCACTGACCTGGCTGTGGAGGTTCCTTAGGGCAGCACCCAGAGCCCCATGGTTCTTGTCCTGTGTGGGAAGGAGACCCAGTGGGTGCCTATAGACCGCTATGGGGCAGGGGTCAGGGGGTGCCTATAGACCCCTATGGGGCAGGGGTCAAGGGGTGCCTATAGACCCCTATGGGGCAGGGGTCAGGGGGTGCCTATAGACCCCTATGGGGCAGGGGTCAGGGGGTGCCTATAGACCCCTATGGGGCAGGGGGTGCCTATAGACCCCTATGGGGCAGGGGTCAGGTGGTGCCTATAGACCCCTATGGGGCAGGGGTGAGGGGGTGCCTATAGACCCCTATGGGGCAGGGGTCAGGGGGTGCCTACAGACCCCTATGGGGCAGGGGTCAGGGGGTGCCTATAGACCCCTATGGGGCAGGGGTGAGGTGGTGCCTATAGACCCCTATGGGGCAGGGGTCAGGGGGTGCCTATAGACCCCTATGGGGCAGGGGTCAGGTGGTGCCTACAGACCCCTATGGGGCAGGGGGTGCCTATAGACCCCTATGGGGCAGGGGTCAGGTGGTGCCTATAGACCCCTATGGGGCAGGGGTCAGGGGGTGCCTACAGACCCCTATGGGGTAGGGGGTGCCTATAGAGACACCTATGGAGCCCATAGCCCCCTATGGGTCCCATTGCCCCTATGGATCTCATAGCCCCTATGGATCTCACAGCCCCTATAGATCCCATTGCCCCCTATAGGTCCCATTGCCCCCTACGGGTCCCATTGCCCCCTACAAGTCCCATTGCCCCCTATGGATCCAATTGACCCCTATAGGTCCCACTGCCCCCTATGGATCCAATTGCTCGCTATGGGTCCCACTGCCCCCTATGGGTCCCATTGCCCGCTATGGGTCCCATTGCCCCCTATGGGTCCCATTGCCCGCTATGGGTCCCATTGCCCCCTATGGGTCCCATTGCCCGCTATGGGTCCCATTGCTCGCTATGGGTCCCACTACCCCCTATGGGTCCCATTGCCCCCTATGGGTCCCATTGCCCGCTATGGGTCCCATTGCCCCCTATGGGTCCCATTGCTCGCTATGGGTCCCATTGCCCGCTATGGGTCCCATTGCCCCCTATGGGTCCCATTGCTCGCTATGGGGCAGACCTGGAGATGCCCCTGGAGCCGCTCCAGCGCCCGCCTCACCCCCGCTGCCTCCATGGAGCCAATCCCGAGGCTGCTTCTTGGGGGGTGAGGCGAGGGGGCGGGGCCGCCGTGACGTCACAGGGACGCTGTGGAACGGGCGCGATGACGTCACAGGGATGCTGTGGAACGGGCGCGATGACGTCACAGGGACGCTGTGGAACGGGCGCGATGACGTCACAGGGACGCTATGGAACAGGGGGTGATGACGTCAAAGGGATGCGGGGGGGGTGGTGCAGATTTGGGGCTATTTTGGGCAGATTTGGGGCAAAACTTCTGCTTTTTGGGGCTATTTTTTGGCTATTTCTGCTATTTTGAGTTGGTTTGGGTCTATTTTAGGGTATTTTTACCTATTTCTGCTATTTTGGGTTGGTTTGGGTGTATTTTGGGGTATTTTTACCTATTTCTGCTATTTTGGGTTGGTTTGGGTGTATTTTGGGGTATTTTTAGCTATTTCTGCTATTTTGGGCTGGTTTGGGTCTATTTTAGGGTATTTTTACCTATTTCTGCTATTTTGGGTTGGTTTGGCTCTATTTTTGGGTATTTTTACCTATTTCTGCTATTTTGGGTTGGTTTGGGTCTATTTTAAGGTATTTTTACCTATTTCTGCTATTTTGGGCTGGTTTGGCTCTATTTTAAGGTATTTTTACCTATTTCTGCTATTTTGGGCTTGGTTTGGCTCTATTTTTGGGTATTTTTAGCTATTTCTGCTATTTTGGGTTGGTTTGGGTCTATTTTAGGGTATTTTTACCTATTTCTGCTATTTTGGGTTGGTTTGGCTCTATTTTAGGGTATTTTTAGCTATTTTTAGCCTATTTTGGGTTGGTTTGGGTCTATTTTGGGGTATTTTTAGCTATTTCTGCTATTTTGGGTTGGTTTGGCTCTATTTTAGGGTATTTTTACCTATTTCTGCTATTTTGGGCCGGTTTGGCTCTATTTTAGGGTATTTTTACCTATTTCTGCTATTTTGGGTTGGTTTGGGTCTATTTTAGGGTATTTTTAGCTATTTCTGCTATTTTGGGTTGGTTTGGCTCTATTTTAGGGTATTTTTACCTATTTCTGCTATTTTGGGCTGGTTTGGGTCTATTTTAGGGTATTTTTACCTATTTCTGCTATTTTGGGCTGGTTTGGGTCTATTTTAGGGTATTTTTACCTATTTCTGCTATTTTGGGTTGGTTTGGCTCTATTTTTGGGTATTTTTAGCTATTTCTGCTATTTTGGGCTGGTTTGGCTCTATTTTAGGGTATTTTTACCTATTTCTGCTATTTTGGGTTGGTTTGGCTCTATTTTTGGGTATTTTTACCTATTTCTGCTATTTTGGGCTGGTTTGGCTCTATTTTTGGGTATTTTTACCTATTTCTGCTATTTTGGGCTGGTTTGGCTCTATTTTAAGGTATTTTTAGCTATTTTTAGCCTATTTGGGGTTGGTTTGGGTCTATTTTTAGGTATTTTTAGCTATTTCTGCTATTTTGGGCTGGTTTGGCTCTATTTTAGGGTATTTTTACCTATTTCTGCTATTTTGGGTTGGTTTGGCTCTATTTTAGGGTCTTTTTACCTATTTCTGCTATTTTGGGTTGGTTTGGGTCTATTTTAGGGTATTTTTACCTATTTCTGCTATTTTGGGCTGGTTTGGGTCTATTTTAAGGTATTTTTATCTATTTCTGCTATTTTGGGTTGGTTTGGGTCTATTTTTGGGTATTTTTAGCCTATTTTGGGTTGGTTTGGGTCTATTTTAGGGTATTTTTACCTATTTCTGCTATTTTGGGTTGGTTTGGCTCTATTTTAGGGTATTTTTACCTATTTCTGCTATTTTGGCTCTATTTTAGGGTATTTTTACCTATTTCTGCTATTTTGGGTTGGTTTGGCTCTATTTTAGGGTATTTTTAGCTATTTCTGCTATTTTGGGTTGGTTTGGGTCTATTTTTGGGTATTTTTAGCCTATTTTGGGTTGGTTTGGCTCTATTTTAGGGTATTTTTACCTATTTCTGCTATTTTGGGTTGGTTTGGCTCTATTTTTGGGTATTTTTAGCTATTTTTAGCCCATTTTGGGGCTATTTCGTGTTATTTTAGGGCTGGTGTCCGCCTCCCGCCTCCCTTCCCCCACCCCAGTGTCCCAGCCTCGCCCCGCCCCCACCCCGAGGAGCCCAATCCCCGCTGGCCAATGAGAGGGGAGGAGTTCAGCGGCAGCCAATCAGAGGCCGCAGCGCGGGGACTGGCAGCGCTCCCGGCCAATGGCGGTGAAGGGCGGCCACGCATCCGGGATCCGGTTTATACTGGGATGGATCCAGTCCATACTGGGACGAATCCGGTTTACACTGGGATGAATCCAGTTTATACTGGGATGGAACCGGTTTACACTGGGACGAATCCAGTCCATACTGGGATGGGATCAAGTTTATGCTGGGATGGGATCCAGTTTATACTGGGACAAATCCGGTTTATACTGGGATGGATCTGGTTTATACTGGGATGAATCCAGTCCATACTGGGATGGGATCCAGGATCCAGTTTACACTGGGATGGATCCAGTCCATACTGGGATGGATCCGGTTTACACTGGGACGGATCCGGTTTATACTGGGATGGGATCAGGTTTATACTGGGATGGATCCGGTTTACACTGGGATGAATCCGGTCCATACTGGGATGGGATCAGGTTTATACTGGGATGGATCCGGTTTATACTTTGATGGATCCGATTTATACTGGGATGGGATCAGGTTTATACTGGGACAAATCCGGTTTATACTGGGATAGGATCCAGTTTACACTGGGATGAATCCGGTTTATACTGGGATGAATCTGGTCCATACGGGGCTGGATCCGGTTCATACTGGGATGGGATCCAGGATCCGGTTTATACTGGGATGAATCCGGTTTATCCTGGGCTGGATCCGGTTCACACTGGGCTGGGCTCCAGGTTCCCGCTCGCTCAGTGCGGGGCCTCCCCCTCCCCCTCCCCCTCCCCCTCCCCCCCCCCGGGGCGCTGCCGCCGCCGGGATCGGGCCCGGGCGTAGGGGGGGGCGATGGGGGGGGCGGGGGGGGGCAGGAAGCGGTACGGGCGGTGCGGGTCCAGCTGCGGGGGGAGGGGAGGGGGGTCAGGGGGGGCAATGGGGGGGCAATGGGGGGAGGGGGGGGGCACTCCCGAGAGCTCCCAGTGTGACCCATAGAGCCCAATGCGACCCATGGAGCCCCATAGAGCCCAGTGTGACCCATAGAGCCCCATAGAGCCCAGCACGACCCATAGAGCCCAGTGTGACCCATAGAGCCCAGCGCATCCCATAGAGCCCCATAGAGCCCAGCGCATCCCATAGAGCCCCATAGAGCCCAGCGCATCCCATAGAGCCCCATGGAGCCCAGCGCGACCCATAGAGCCCAATGCGACCCATAGAGCCCAGTGCGACCCATAGAGCCCAGCGCGACCCATAGAGCCCAGTGCGTCCCATAGAGCCCAGCGCGTCCCATAGAGCCCAATGCGACCCATAGAGCCCAGCGCGTCCCATAGAGCCCAGCGCAACCCATAGAGCCCAGCGTGACCCATAGAGCCCAGCGTGACCCATAGAGCCCCATAGAGCCCAGCGCGTCCCATAGAACCCCATAGAGCCCAGCGCATCCCATAGAGCCCCATAGAGCCCAGCGCATCCCATAGAGCCCCATAGAGCCCAGCGCGTCCCATAGAACCCCATAGAGCCCAGTGTGACCCATAGAGCCCCATAGAGCCCAATGCGACCCATAGAGCCCAGCGTGACCCATAGAGCCCCATAGAGCCCAGCGCGTCCCTGCTCAGCCCAGGTCCTCCCAGTGCATCCCAATCCCATCCCAGTCCCCCCCCAATCCCCCCCCACTTCCCGCCACTGCCCCCCATCCCCCCCCATTCCCTCCCCAATCCCATCCCAGTCCCCCCCCACTTCCCCCCACTCCCCGCCACTGCCCCCCATCGCCCCCCATTCCCTCCCCCATCCCCCCCATCCCCCCCCCCTCCCCCCTCCCCTCCCCCACCTCCAGGGGGTAGTTGCGGTCGGGGTCGTAGGCGCTCAGGTCCCCGCAGGCCACGAAGGGGACGAGGACGCGGGAGGGGCCCGAGGGCGGGGCCAGGGCCAGGTCTGGGGGGGGAGGGGAGAGGGAATGGGGACCCCAACCCCCCCCTTGGGGACCCCCCTTAGGGACCCCCCAACCCCCCCTTTGGGACCCCAACCCCCCCCTTAGGGACCCCAACCCCCCCCAGAGTCCCCCAAACCCCCCCTTAGGGACCCCAAACCTCCCCCTTTGTGACCCCAACTCCCCCCTTAGGGACCCCAACCCCCCCTTGGGGACCCCCAAACCCCCCCTTTGTGACCCCAAACCCCCCCTTAGGGACCCCAACCCCCCGCTTGGGGACCCCCCTTTGTGACCCCCAACTCCCCCCTTTGTGACCCCAACCTCCCCCTTGGGGACCCCCCTTTGGGACCCCCAACCCCCACACTGAGATCCTCAAAAACCCCCTTTGGGACCCCAACCCCCCCCTTTGGGACCCCCAAACCCCCCCTTAGGGATCCCAACCTCCCCCTTGGGGACCCCCAACCCCCCCCAATGAGATCCCCAAACCCCCCCTTTAGGGACCCCCCTTTGGGACCCCCAAACCCCCCCTTTGGGACCCCCAACCCCCCCTTGGGGACCCCCAAACCCCCCCTTTGTGACCCCAACCCCCCCCTTGGGGACCCCCCCTTTGGGACCCCCAACCCCCCCTTGGGGACCCCCAAACCCCCCCTTTGTGACCCCAAACCCCCCCTTAGGGAACCCAACCCCCCCTTAGGGACCCCCCTTTGTGACCCCATCCCCCCCTTGTGACCCCCAAACCCCCCTTTGTGACCCCCAATCCCCCCTTTGTGACCCCCAATCCCCCCTTTGAGTGCCCCCCTTTGTGACCCCCCCTTTGTGACCCCAATCCCCCCTTTGTGACCCCCCCTTTGTGACCCCAATCCCCCCTTTGTGACCCCCCCTTTGTGACCCCAATCCCCCCTTTGTGACCCCCAAGCCCCCCTTTGTGACCCTTAACCCCTCCCATTTGTGACCCCCCCTTTGTGACCCCAATCCCCCCTTTGTGACCCCCCCTTTGTGACCCCCCTTTGTGACCCCCCTTTGTGACCCCCCTTTGTGACCCCCCCCTTTGTGACCCCAATCCCCCCTTTGTGACCCCCCCTTTGTGACCCCCCTTTGTGACCCCCCCCTTTGTGACCCCCCCTTTGTGACCCCCCCCTTTGTGACCCCCTTTCTGACCCCCCCTTTGTGACCCCAATCCCCCCTTTGTGCCCCCCAACCCCCTCCCATTTGTGACCCCTCCTTTGTGACCCCAATCCCCCCTTTGTGACCCCCCCTTTGTGACCCCCAACCCCCTCCCATTTGTGACCCCCCCTTTGTGACCCCAACCCCCCCTTTGTGCCCCCCCCTTTGTGACCCCCAACCCCCTCCCATTTGTGACCCCCCCTTTGTGACCCCAATCCCCCCTTTGTGACCCCCCCTTTGTGCCCCCCAACCCCCTCCCATTTGTGACCCCCCCTTTGTGACCCCCCCTTTGTGACCCCCCATTTGTGACCCCAATCCCCCCTTTGTGACCCCCCCTTTGTGCCCCCCAAACCCCTCCCATTTGTGACCCCCCCTTTGTGACCCCAATCCCCCCTTTGTGACCACCCCTTTGTGCCCCCCAACCCCCTCCCATTTGTGCCCCCCCCTTTGTGCCCCCCCCTTTGTGCCCCCCAACCCCCTCCCATTCGTGCCCCCCCTTACCCCCATGGAGCAATGGGCTGTCCATGCTGGGCTCGAAGCCCGCGGGGGGGCTGTAACCCCGGCACACCACAAAGGCCTCTAGAAAGGGGGGGACAAAGGGGGTGGGGGGGTCCCCATAATGGGGGGGTCATCGTAGAGTGGGGGTGCCCTTAAAGTGGGGGGTCCCCAGAATGGGGGTGTCCACGTAGCCCATAATGGGGGTCTGCATAGGCCATAATGGGGGGGTCATCGTAGAGTGGGGGTGACCTTAAAGTGGGGGGTCCCCATAATGGGGGGGTCATCGTAGAGTGGGGGTCCCCTTAAAGTGGGGGGGTCCCCATAACGGGGGGGTCATCGTAGAGTGGGGGTGACCTTAAAGTGGGGGGTCCCCATAACGGGGGGGTCATTGTAGAGTGGGGGTCCCCTTAAAGTGGGGGGTGCCCATAATGGGGGGGTCATCGTAGAGTGGGGGTGACCTTAAAGTGGGGGGTCCCCATAATGGGGGGTCATCGTAGAGTGGGAGTGACCTTAAAGTGGGGGGGTCCCCATAATGGGGGGTCATCGTAGAGTGGGGGTGACCTTAAAGTGGGGGGGTCCCCATAATGGGGGGGTCATCGTAGAGTGGGGGTGACCTTAAAGGGGGGGGGTCCCCATAATGGGGGGGTCATCGTAGAGTGGGGGTGACCTTAAAGTGGGGGGTCCCCATAACGGGGGGGTCATCGTAGAGTGGGGGGTCCCCATAATGAGGGGGTCATCGTAGAGTGGGGGTGACCTTAAAGTGGGGGGTCCCCATAATGGGGGGGTCATCGTAGAGTGGGGGTGACCTTAAAGTGGGGGGTCCCCATAATGGGGGGGTCATCGTAGAGTGGGGGTGACCTTAAAGTGGGGGGGTCCCCATAATGGGGGGTCATCGTAGAGTGGGGGTGCCCTTAAAGTGGGGGGGTCCCCATAATGGGGGGGTCATCGTAGAGTGGGGGTGACCTTAAAGTGGGGGGTCCCCATAATGGGGGGGTCATCATAGAGTGGGGGTCCCCTTAAAGTGGGGGGGTCCCCATAATGGGGGTGTCCACGTAGCCCATAATGGGGGTCTGCATAGGCCATAATGGGGGTTCCCCTTAAGCCATAATGGGGGTCTGTATAGGCCATAATGGGGGGGTTCTCCATAATGGGGGTTCCCCATAGGCCATAATGGGGGGGGTCCCCATAAGCCATAGTGGGGAGGTCCCCTTAGGACGTAATGGGGGGGTTCCCCATAATGGGGGTTCCCCATAAGCCATAATGGGGGTTCCCCATAGGCCATAATGGGGAGGTCCCCTTAGGACATAATGGGGGGGTTCCCCATAAGCCATAATGGGGGTTCCCCATAGGCCATAATGGGGGTGTTCCCCATAAGGGGGGGTTCCCCACAATGGGGGGTTCCCCATAGGCCATACTGGGGGCTCCCCATAGGCCATAATGGGGGGGTTCCCATAGGCCATAATGGGGGGGTCCCCATAATGGGGGGTTCCCCATAAGCCATAATGGGGGTTCCCCATAAGCCATAATGGGGTTCCCCATAATCCATAATGGGGGTTCCCCATAATGGGGGGGTTCCCCATAAGCCATAATGGGGGGTTCCCCATAATGGGGTTCCCCATAATCCATAATGGGGGTTCCCCATAATGGGGGGTCCCCATAGGCCATAATGGGGGGGTTCCCCATAGGCCATAATGGGGGTGTTCCCCATAATGGGGGTCCCCATAATCCATAATGGGGGGTCCCCATAGCGGGGTTCCCCATAAGCCATAATGGGGGTTCCCCATAGCGGGGTTCCCCATAATCCATAATGGGGGGTTCCCCATAATGGGGGTTCCCCATAATGGGGGTTCCCCATAATCCATAATGGGGGGGTTCCCCATAATGGGGGGTCCCCATAGGCCATAATGGGGTGTTCCCCATAATGGGGGTTCCCCATAATCCATAATGGGGGGGGTTCCCCATAATCCATAATGGGGGTTCCCCATAATGGGGGTTCCCCATAATCCATAATGGGGGGGGTTCCCCATAATCCATAATGGGGGTTCCCCATAATCCATAATGGGGGGGGTTCCCCATAATCCATAATGGGGGGTTCCCCATAATGGGGTTCCCCATACCGGGGGGTCCCCATAATCCATAATGGGGGGGGTTCCCCATAGCGGGGTCCCCATAATCCATAATGGGGGTGTTCCCCATAGCGGGGGTCCCTCACCGATGCTGGAGTTGCGGCTGCTGCGGGGCTTGGCGCAGGTGACGCTGGGGAAGAAGAGGCGCAGCTGGGCATAGAGCAGGGTCACGTCCTTGCCCCGGAAGATCTGGGGGGGTCCTGGGTGTCAGGGACCCCCCCCACCCCCCCATTAACATGGGGGGGACCCCCCTCCCCCCTCCCCACAGACTCACTTTAGCCACAAAGGTGCCCCCCTTCTTCAAGACGTGCGTGGTGATGGTGAGAGCCTGAAGGGGGGAAGGGGGGGCCATGGGGTTGATAAAGGGGGGGGTCCCCATGGGGTTATGGGGATGCCAAAGGGGGGGGAAAGGGGGGGGTTGGGGGGGGGCCATGGGGTTGATAAAGGGGGGGTCCCATGGGGTTATGGGGATGCCAAAGGGGGGGGAAAGGGGGGGGTTGGGGGGGGGCCATGGGGTTGATAAAGGGGGGGTCCCAATGGGGTTATGGGGATGCTAAAGGGGGGGGGTTGGGGGGGTCCCCGTGTGGTTATGGGGATGCTAAAGGGGGGGGATTGGGGGGTCCCAATGGGGTTATGGGGATGCCAAAGCGGGGTGGGGGGGTCCCCATGGGGTTATGGGGATGCCAAAGGGGGGTGGGGGGGTCCCCATGGGGTTATGGGGATGTTAAAGGGGGGGGATTGGGGGGTCCCCATGGGGTTATGGGGATGCCAAAGGGGGGTGGGGGGGTCCCAATGGGGTTATGGGGATGCCAAAGGGGGGTGGGGGGGTCCCCATGGGGTTATGGGGATGCCAAAGGGGGGGGGTTAAGGCACTCACAGCCAATAGGAGCTGAGCCTGGATGTACTCGTCCAGGTCATGGAGCCCTGTCACTGATGGGGGGGGGATATTGGGGTTCGGGGGGGTGCACTTTCATCCCCCCCCCCCATTACTCACCATCAGGGGCCCCATCGCAGACCACCAGGTCAGCCGAGTGCCCCTCGAAGTGGCGCTGGATCTGCTGCACTGTGGAGGCCTGGGGGCAGTGGGGGTCATGGGGCAATGGGGGGCAATGGGGCAATGGGGGGCAATGGGGGTGATGGGGCAATGGGGGTGAGGTAACGGGGGCGGGGGTGATGGGGGTGATGGGGCAATGGGGGGCAATGGGGGGCAATGGGGGTGATGGGGCAATGGGGGGCAATGGGGGGCAATGACGGGGGGAATGGGGGTGATGGGGCAATGGGGGGCAATGGGGGGCAATGGGGGTGATGGGGGGCAATGGGGGTGATGGGGCAATGGGGGTGATGGGGGGCAATGGGGGGCAATGGGGGTGACGGGGGGAATGGGGTTGATGGGGCAATGGGGGTGATGGGGCAATGGGGGGCAATGGGGGTGATGGGGGGAATGGGGGGCAGTGGGGGTGATGGGGCAATGGGGCAATGGGGGGCAATGGGGGGCAATGGGGGTGATGGGGGGCAATGGGGGCAATGGGGGTAATGGGGGGCAATGGGGCAATGGGGCAATGGGGGGCAATGGGGGTGATGGGGGCAATGGGGGCTATGGGGGAATGAGGACAATGGGGGAATGGGGGCAATGGGGGTGATGGGGGAATGGGGGTAATGGGGGGCAATGGGGGTGATGGGGGGAATGGGGGTGATGGGGGGAATGGGGGTGATGGGGGGAATGGGGTGATGGGGCAATGGGGGGCAATGGGGGTGATGGGGGGAATGGGGGTGATGGGGCAATGGGGATGAAGGGGGGAATGGTGGTGATGGGGGAATGGGGTTTGGGGGTCTTTGGGGGTCTCTAAGTGGCTATGAGGCATCTATGGATTATCTATGAAATATCTATGGGGTGTCTATAGGGGTCTATGGGGTGCCTATGGGCTGTCTATGGGATATCTATGGGGTGTCCATGGGTTGTCTATGGGGTGTCTATGGGGTATCTGTGGGGTGGCTATGAGGTGTCTATGGGGTGTCTATGAGGTGTCTGTGGGGTGTCTATGGGGTGTCTGTGGGGTGTCTATGAGGTGTCTATGGGGTGTCTATGGGGTACCTGTGGGGTGGCTATGAGGTATCTATGGGGTGTCTATGGGGGGTCTGTGGGGGGTCTATGGGATGTCCATGGAGTGTGTATGAGGTATCTATGGGGTGTCTCTGGGGTGTCTCTGGGGTGTCTATGGGGTGTGTACAAGGTATCTATGAGGTATCTGTGGGGTGTCTATGGGGTGTCTATGGGGTGTCTGTGGGCTGTCTGTGGGGTGTCTATGGGGGGGTCTATGGGGTGTGTGTGTGGTGTGTATGGGGTGTCTATGGGGTGTGTATGGGGGGATCTATGGGGTGTCTCTGGGGTGTCTCTGGGGTGTCTCTGGGGTATCTATGGGGTGTCTCTGGGGTGTCTCTGGGGTGTCTATGGGGTGTCTATGTGGTGTCTATGGGGTGTCTATGGGGTATCTATGGGGTATCTATGTTGTGTCTCTGGGGTGTCTATGGGGTGTCTATGGGGTGTCTCTGGGGTGTCTATGGGGTGTCTATGGAGTGTCTATGGGGTGTCTCTGGGGTGTCTCTGGGGTGTCTATGGGGTGTCTATGGGGTATCTATGGGGTGTCTATGGAGTGTCTATGGGGTGTCTCTGGGGTGTCTCTGGGGTGTCTATGGGGTGTCTATGTGGTGTCTATGGGGTATCTATGGGGTATCTATGTTGTGTCTATGGGGTGTCTATGGGGTGTCTATGGGGTGTCTATGGGGTATCTATGGGGTATCTATGTGGTGTCTATGGGGTGTCTATGGGGTGTCTATGGGGTATCTATGGGGTGTCTATGTGGTGTCTATGTGGTGTCTATGTGGTGTCTATGGGGTATCTATGGGGTGTCTATGGGGTGTCTATGGGGTATCTATGTGGTGTCTATGGGGTGTCTATGGGGTGTCTATGGGGTATCTATGTTGTGTCTATGGGGTGTCTATGGGGTGTGTATAAGGTATTTATGGGGTGTCTGTGGGGTGTCTATGGGGTGTCTATGGGGTGTCTATGGGGTGTCTATGGGGTATCTATGGGGTGTCTATGTGGTGTCTATGTGGTGTCTATGTGGTGTCTATGGGGTATCTATGGGGTGTCTATGGGGTGTCTATGGGGTATCTATGTTGTGTCTATGGGGTGTCTATGGGGTGTGTATAAAGTATTTATGGGGTGTCTATGGGGTGTCTATGGGGTGTGTATAAGGTATCTATGGGGTGTCTGTGGGGTGTCTGTGGGGTGTCTATGGGGTGTCTATGGGGTGTCTATGGGGTGTCTATGGGGTGTCAGGGGGCCGGGCGCCGCTCCCCACCTTGGTGATGTCCCCTTGGATCTGCAGCACCCCCGGCAGCGGCGCCATGGCCTGGAGGTCCACGGCCACCACCTGTGGTGGGCCCTCCGCGGAGCCCCTGGGGGGCAGGATACGACCCCCTCATTGCCCCCCATAGCCCCCCATGACCCCCTCATTGCCCCCCATGACCCCCTCATTGCCCCCCATAGCCCCCCCCATAGCCCCCCCCCTCATTGCCCCCCATAGCCCCCCCATTGCCCCCCCCATTGCCCCCATAGACCCCCTCATTGCCCCCCATGACCCCCTCATTGCCCCCATAGACCCCCTCATTGCCCCCCATAGCCCCCCCATAGCCCCCCCCCTCATTGCCCCCCATAGCCCCCCCATTGCCCCCCCCATTGCCCCCATAGACCCCCTCATTGCCCCCCATGACCCCCTCATTGCCCCCTATAGCCCCCCCCTCATTGCCCCCCATAGACCCCCTCATTGCCCCCATGACCCCCTCATTGCCCCCATGACCCCCTCATTGCCCCCCATAGACCCCCTCATTGCCCCCCATGACCCCTCATTGCCCCCCATGACCCCCTCATTGCCCCCCATGAACCCTCATTGCCCCCCATAGCCCCCCCTCATTGCCCCCCATGACCCCCTCATTGCCCCCCATAGCCCCCCCTCATTGCCCCCCATGACCCCCTCATTGCCCCCATGACCCCCTCATTGCCCCCCCATAGCCCCCTCATTGCCCCCATTCCCCCATTGCCCCCATAGCCCCCCATTGCCCCCATGACCCCCCATAGCCCCCCCTCATTGCCCCCCATGACCCCCCCATAGCCCCCCTCATTGCCCCCCCATAGCCCCCCCATTGCCCCCCTCATTGCCCCCCCATAGCCCCCCATTGCCCCCCCATTACCCCCCCATTGCCCCCCCATAGCCCCCCCCATTGCCCCCCATGACCCCCCCATAGCCCCCCCCTCATTGCCCCCCATAGCCCCCCCATTGCCCCCCTCATTGCCCCCCCATTGCCCCCCATTCCCCCCCCATTGCCCCCCATTGCCCCCCATTGCCCCCCATGACCCCCCATTGCCCCCCATGCCCCCCATAACCCCCCATAATGCCCCCATACCCCCCATTGCCCCCCCCATTGCCCCCCATAACCCCCCATAATGCCCCCATAACCCCCCCATTGCCCCCCCATTGCCCCCCCATTGCCCCCTCCCCACCTCAGGTTGCGGCTCAGGACCTGGCTCCAGCTCCCCGGTGCCGCGCAGAGATCGACGGCGCGATGGACGCCTGGGAGAGAGCATCCCAATGGATCCCAATGGATCCCAATGCATCCCAATGGATCCCAATGCATCCCAGTGCATCCCAATGGATCCCAATGGATCCCAGTGCATCCCAATGGATCCCAGTGCATCCCAATGGATCCCAATGCATCCCAGTGCTTCCCACTGCATCCCAATGGATCCCAATGGATCCCAATGGATCCCAATGCTTCCCAATGCATCCCAATGGATCCCAATGCATCCCAGTGCATCCCAATGGATCCCAGTGCATCCCAATGGATCCCAGTGCATCCCAATGGATCCCAGAGCATCCCAGTGCATCCCAATGCATCCCAGTGCATCCCAATGGATCCCAATGGATCCCAATGGATCCCAGTGCATCCCAATGGATCCCAATGGATCCCAGTGCTTCCCAGTGCTTCCCAGAGCATCCCAGTGCTTCCCATTGCATCCCAATGGATCCCAGTGCATCCCAGAGCATCCCAGTGCTTCCCAATGGATCCCAATGCATCCCAGTGCATCGCAGTGGATCCCAATGCATCCCAGTGGATCCCAATGCATCCCAGTGCATCCCAATGCATCCCAGTGCATCCCAATGCATCCCAGTGCATCCCAGTGGATCCCAATGCATCCCAGTGCATCCCAGTGGATCCCAATGCATCCCAGTGCTTCCCAGTGCATCCCAATGGATCCCAATGCATCCCAGTGCATCCCAATGGATCCCAATGCATCCCATTGCATCCCAGTGCATCCCAATGGATCCCAATGCATCCCAGTGCATCCCAATGGATCCCAATGCATCCCAGTGCTTCCCAGTGCATCCCAGTGCATCCCAGTGGATCCCATTCCCCCCGGCGCCCCCGTGCCTCACCCTGGAAGAGCCGGAAGCGCTGCTCCAGCTGCAGGAGCTTGAAGGCGCTGCGGGCTCGCCAGCCCTGCTCCTTGGCCAGCCGGTAATAGATGTCCCGCTTGTCCTTGGAGGAGCGCCCCATAGCGTTCCTGCTGCCCCCCCCCCCCCATGGGGTTTATCTATAGGTCCTACAGTAAATAAACCCCTTCTTTATGTGGGGTGCCATAGAGAACAACGGCACCCACAGCACCCATTGCCCCCAGGGCGACCCACAAGTGGTTGGTGCTGCCCCCCCCCCCCATGGTGTTTATCTGTAGGTCCTACAGTAAATAAACCCCTTCTTTATGTGGGGCGCCATAGAGAACAACGGCACCCACAGCACCCATTGCCCCCAGAGCAGCCCCACAAGTGGCTGATGCCCCCCCCCCCCCATGGGGTTTATCTGTAGGTCCTACAGTAAATAAACCCCTTCTTTATGTGGGGCGCCATAGAGAACAACGGCACCCATTGCCCCCAGGGCGGACCCACAAGTGGCTGATGCTGTGCCCCCCCCATGGTGTTTATCTGTAGGTCCTACAGTAAATAAACCCCTTCTTTATGTGGGGCGCCATAGAGAACAACAGCACCCATTGCCCCCAGGGCGGCCCCACAAGTGGTTGATGCTGCCCCCCCCCCATGCTGTTTATCTGTAGGTCCTACAGTAAATAAACCCCTTCTTTATGTGGGGCGCCATAGAGAGCAACGGCACCCACAGCACCCATTGCCCCCAGAGCAGACCCACAAGTGGCTGATGCTGCCCCCCCCCCCGCTGTTTATCTGTAGGTCCTACACTAAATAAACCCCTTCTTTATGTGGGGCGCCATAGAGAACAACGGCACCCACAGCACCCATTGCCCCCAGGGTGGACCCACAAGTGGCTGATGCTGCCCCCCCCCCATGGTGTTTATCTGTAGGTCCTACAGTAAATAAACCCCTTCTTTATGTGGGGCGCCATAGAGAACAACAGCACCCATTGCCCCCAGAGCAGACCCACAAGTGGTTGATGCTGCCCCCCCCCCCCCATGGTGTTTATCTGTAGGTCCTACAGTAAATTAACCCCTTCTTTATGTGGGGTGCCATAGAGAACAACAGCACCCATTGCCCCCAGAGCAGCCCCACAAGTGGTTGGTGCTGCCCCCCCCCCATGGTGTTTACCTGTAGGTCCTACAGTAAATAAACCCCTTCTTTATGTGGGGTGCCATAGAGAACAACGGCACCCACAGCACCCATTGCCCCAGGGCGGACCCACAAGTGGTTGATGCTGCCCCCCCCCATGGTGTTTATTTGTAGGTCCTACAGTAAATAAACCCCTTCTTTATGTGGGGCGCCATAGAGAACAACGGCACCCACAGCACCCATTGCCCCCAGGGCGACCCCACAAGTGGCTGATGCTGCCCCCCCCCCCCATGGGGTTTATCTGTAGGTCCTACAGTAAATAAACCCCTTCTTTATGTGGGGTGCCATAGAGAACAACGGCACC